AAGCTTAGTTAACGTTTTGTTTGACTTCCATTTTGTCTTATTCTAGGTGTTTATCAACAGCAATAATTAATAGTGATATCCCTTTTGTATCTCTTATTGGTCAGTGATCAATTGCACATCTCTACGAGTTAGTCCTGGAGGTCCTTTACAAATGGACAGTTGTGGTGATCATTATGGTTCAAAGTGTAACTTCTCCTGTTCCGTTGGATACCGTTTGAATGGGTCTTCAACGGTGACATGCATTGCCCCTGGTAACAGCCCTCCGGGAGTCTGGGACAGCCCTATTCCTGTATGCCAGGGTACGTTTTCACGGTACAATATTGATGTCGTGCTTTTCATCTCTATTTCAATATGGAAGCAATACACGCTTGACAACCATTTAAACCGTTCTCACGGTAGGGTGCTGATGTCACGCTTTTCATCTCTGTTTGAGTATGGAAGGTATAGAAGTTCCACTTTACCCTGCGAGTAGAGATTGCTTTCCGGCTTTCAAGGCCTTCAGCATGTACGAAGTTCTTCGACTGATAAGCCACGCGAACGACTTTGTAAAACGCCAGGGTAGCTCGACACCCACTTAAACTTGATTTACGTCACCTTTTCCGGTACCTTATTCGGTTTACTTTATAAACTAGTGTCCTGTATAATGCTTTTTTCAAGTGTTTAAAACTTATTTTTTCATCAGAAATTACCTGTCAGTCTCATCCTGATCTAATCAATGGAATAAAACGTGGCTGTCTCAACCCAGTTTCCGAACGCTATAGCGCGATATGTAGCTTCTCTTGTAATGTTGGGTACAATTTGACCGGCTCGTCAAGGAGACAGTGCCTGGAAAATGGAACATGGAGTGGGGTGGCTCCAACTTGTCAAGGTAAGTATTATGACACCAATCATGGAGAAGGTGTTTCTTACGATGAGTAAATTGGCCGCGCTAAATTAACCAAATTAAATCCTGTAGGGGAGAGGATTTTGTCAAGAAATATTTTTCATTAATGTATTCCTCAGATTGTGGGGGTGGGCGTTCTACCCCAAGTGGAATTGACAAAAATGCCTTCTTCTGGGTAGGGTGCCTCAAATGCTTGACTCACACATTCGCAAGTTATTCAGTTAACGCGTTCATATCGATTCGGATATGAAACTTTCCCATTGATGGTTGTTGTCATGGAAGGCATTGTAATACCAAAGTAATGACTGCTTTTTCACAACATTGCACTCACACATCGGCTGCTCTGCCTGTAGAAGAAAAGGAAATTGCAGGTGGCAAATTTATTAACTGCGACACTTTTTCTGAGGGTGATTTTTGTCTTGTTGATAAAGTAAAGCTATATCGGCCATTTTAAAGTCGCGCTACAAGACTGGGACGGTGTTGTGTCAAATTGCATTGTGGAACTGTTTTGGGGACTAATTTTGACCCAGTTTCCAGCGCAGCGTCGTAACAGCCAAAAGAATTAGCGACAGCTTTTACCAAACAATCCCACAGTACAATTCGACATAGTACCGGCCCAGTCATACCCGCAACTCCAAAACTGATAGGCTAATGAAGAAATGTTTTTATTTTCCTCCTATTTAATCGCATATTGCAGTGGTAAACTGTAGTGCACTCACTCCTCCTGCGAATGGTACCGTGTCTCCACGTTCGTGTTTATCAAGAAGCACTTACAGCCAGATCTGTAGTTTTTCCTGCAATACACCAGGCTACGTTCTTGAGGGCACTTCAGCAAGGGTATGTGACAGGAACGGAGAGTGGACTGGGAGCAAGAACACGTTTTGTCGAGGTATCGAGTACTTTCTCCTTTAAGTGTTACACTATAAAAACTTGCCTGTATTTATTTTGCCATGATTTATCTCTATAGTAAGTGAGATTAAAAGTCGATGTTCGTAAAGCGTTTATATAATCAAAAAGGACCTATCCCATCTAATCAAAATATCTACAGANAGAATTAGCGACAGCTTTTACCAAACAATCCCACAGTACAATTCGACATAGTACCGGCCCAGTCATACCCGCAACTCCAAAACTGATAGGCTAATGAAGAAATGTTTTTATTTTCCTCCTATTTAATCGCATATTGCAGTGGTAAACTGTAGTGCACTCACTCCTCCTGCGAATGGTACCGTGTCTCCACGTTCGTGTTTATCAAGAAGCACTTACAGCCAGATCTGTAGTTTTTCCTGCAATACACCAGGCTACGTTCTTGAGGGCACTTCAGCAAGGGTATGTGACAGGAACGGAGAGTGGACTGGGAGCAAGAACACGTTTTGTCGAGGTATCGAGTACTTTCTCCTTTAAGTGTTACACTATAAAAACTTGCCTGTATTTATTTTGCCATGATTTATCTCTATAGTAAGTGAGATTAAAAGTCGATGTTCGTAAAGCGTTTATATAATCAAAAAGGACCTATCCCATCTAATCAAAATATCTACAGACAACTAAACACAGTTTTTCTGTTGCATTGACTCAAATAAATTAAGAAGAATTAAAAGACATGACAACAAAATGAATGAGAACGTAAATTTCGTTTAAAATTGTCCATGTGCATCCTTCTTCTTTTATCTTATTATTATAGTTACATTTAACAAGATCTTTGTCGAAACAAAATCTGGTTGTTTTCAGACAATACGCCTCCTTCTTTCAACGGCAGTTGTCCAAGAAACATAGTGGTTTCTGTTCCTAAATGTTCGCCCAGTACTGTGGTCTCATGGAATGAACCAATAGCAAGCGATAACTCTGGTCACATGACCTTAAGTTACCCAGCAGTACGTCCTCCAGCCAATCTAAGTATTGGTCTGCACTATGTTCACTATTCTGCAGCAGACGCCGAGGGAAACAGAGCGAACTGCAGCTTTGTGGTGCAAGTCATAAGTAAATATACCTATCAATAATGCCAGTTATATAAATTATCGAGATGTAGTTGCTTAACTTGCTTATGACTCCTGTTTTACGCACAAAAAAGCACGCCACTCACACTGCTCCATCATGGATGGAAAGATAAATTTTCCTACAGCAGGTCACTGGCACGCTCAAACAAAATATTTAAAAATTTCATAGTGTGTAAGTGATCGCCTGGCAACAGCAATATCACCTTTTGGGGAAATGTGGGGAGGGAAGACAGGGAGGCGGGATATCGTGAGAATATGAGCAGGGGGGATAAGGGAAGGGAGAGAGGAAAAAGCGGAAGGGGGATAAATTACTCTACAATCATTAGTATTTTGTAATCTATAAACGAGGGCAAGGGGGAGGAAGCCAAGAATAAACGGGCAGGAGCTGGGAATGTAAGGTACGAGAGGAGGGAGGTTTGGATCCCCTTCCCACCCCTCCCCCACTGAAATGAATTCCATTAAGGAATTGTTCCAATCCCATATTTATCTCCTTAGATATGTCAACAGAACTTAAGTGTTCGATCTTCTTAACACATAGTGATTGATGGAGTGTCTTTATAAAGTTCAAACTTGGTCAAAGATCCTTTAATGAAACACTCCAAAAGGCTGCTCTAGGGAACCTTATACAACACTCAGTCGACATCTTATCATTCCTCTCTGGACGATGTTAGGTTCCATGTCTTTGCTACATACATCAGGAAAGTACCTACTTCATGCGTAAGTAAGTTATATGTTTAAAGTATTTTGTTTTTATTTCCGCAGAAAGGTCGTGCCCTGTCCTTCAACCCCCAGTCTATGGCGCCATAACTTCTCTTTCATGTGGATCCGCCTACGGTTCTCAGGCTGTTATCGCTTGTAACGAGGGACATCGACTGATTGGGTCACGAGTGCGGTCATGTGAAGCAAATGGGACATGGTCAGGCAATATAACTACTTGCAAAAGTAAGAAAACACAGCATCTGACCTATAACAACCTCTCCTCGTGGCGCGCGGGGTGTGATGGGAAGGTGGAAAGCGAGGGAGAGAGTCTTCCCCTCTTCTCCCTTCCCATCAACCCCTGTTCCCGTCGCGCGCGTCACGCGTAGGCGACTGGGGATAAGTCACACACTGCATATCCTTTGCTATAAAAACAACTCATTCTTTACTTTGTCAACTGACAATGATTCAGCTTTGAGCCCAATTCCTTTGTTGATGCATTATTTTACGCTGATGATAAGGCGCCGTGACGCAAGTTGATCTTTTTGTAAAGGCATTTGAACAGAAGCAGCAATTTTTTATTTATTTATTTATTTTTTATTGTCAGTGAGTATTCCAAGCGTTTAGACGAACCATCAAATAAGGTTTTTTTCCAGCCCATCTCCTCCTGGCCACGCTGAGAATGGGTGGAGTAAACTGATCTAAAACACCCAGTCACAATTAAATCAGTTTGTGATAGTACTCCTGAAACCGATGCTTTCTTCCTGATTGTTCATGTTATATTCTCGCCAGCCCATCTTTTTTTTCATACAGAAACTAAAATTAATGAATAAAATTAAGAAACACTTCTTTAGTCGAATTCCCCTCTTTACTTAGTCAGCTTCTTTCGTGTTACAATAAACGGTCCAACAAACGCCAAACAGCCTGGTAATGTTGTATACAGTGATTAAAAAATTATTTCTTGGAATTATTTTTTATTCAGTTGTTAAGTGCCCATCTATCAAAGCTCTCGCCAACGGAAAAATCAGCCCCGCTCCCTGCACTCGTTCTGGGGGAGTAAGTTATAAGACACAGTGTATTCTACAATGTGATGTCTTAAATGGTTATGGACTTGATGGTCCCACGCAAGTATCTTGCCTGGCAAATGGCTCCTGGAGTGGAAACATTAGCAATATTAGCTGTAAAGGTAGGTACCAAAAAATA